GACAGACTCTCTTCTTTTGAGTCCTTGAAACTTAGGACTTGTTATCCCCACAGGATGAAGAAAACAGCCTCCCCGTCCAGGGGAGGAAACAGAGAGGGGGCTGGATCACATTTGGGGCCTTCTTCACCCATCCACGCCAAGAAAGAGGGGGTTGAGATTGTGCATCCCAGTCTGAGGTCCTTCTAGGAAATCCTGGCTCATCAAAGAACCGATGCCAGGCATGAAGGTTCAACGGGACCAGGCGCTCACAGCAAGGAGCCCAGTACCTACTGCCGCTCTCACTGGCCATTGCCAAGGACCCAAGGGGGCAGTGAGGCTCTGCCTGCCCAGGCTGAGCTTCTCACCTAATTTCTCTTCAGTCTCACTCCCTCGTGATGCTGTTAGTTCTCCTGAGGACTTGCACCAAGCCTCCCAGGGGCCCTACGTGCAAAGTCACCAGACTGGAGTCTGCTCAGTAGCAAGTGCCACAGAGAGCAGCTGCCACCACTGCCCTTGGCGAGGGATGTGGCCTGGGCTCCAGGTTCTACCAAGCACCCTGTGCATGTCTTTGCCAGCTCAGGGATCAGACGTTCAGAAGGTTCCATTTGCTCAGTATTACCTGGTTTGGTTCTGGTGGGAGAATAACGAATTTGTCTTTGTGCTGCCTGCAAACTCAAACTTACCTCCCTGGTCCTTTCCCTGGTTAGGAAGCTCCTAATTTGTGAGCCGGGTGTGGGACCTTGCCTGTAAGAGAGCACTTTGCACACTGCTAGGGCTTCCAGGTTAAGAGTCCCCACTCTGCTCAGTGCTCTGTGTCTCCATGGTGTCCACCCCAGTTGCCACCAACCATACGTGGCCTTGAGATGTGCTGGAAGAATAAACGTGTCCTTACTGGATTGCGAAGACTTAATACACAAAACAATGCAAAAATACCTTCTTAAATTCATATGGCAATAAAATTCTGGATATATTGGTTTACATTAAATATTTCTTTTAAAAATTGTATTAAATTATAAGGAAAAACAGGGTCAACTATAATAGTGTAAGCAGTAAAGTGCAATAAAAATTGTAGGGGTCACATTGTTTAATAAAATCATGTAGGTTTCAAGTGTACAGTTCTATAGTCCAATAAGTTGCATTGTTTTCAGCGTGGCTTCTAGAAAATTTTTAAGTGTATGAGTGGGTCATTTTAACATTTCTAATAAAAGTAATAACAATGCATAATTTGTCATAGGGTGAGATTTGACAAAGTACCAGAGACACATCAATAGTGATTACTGTCGTGTTTGGGAAGGATCACCGTTACCCTCATGAGATCCCCTCATTGCCTGAGAAGACTGCCGTTTTTCTGAGAAAGTGCAAAAACTGTGCTATGCTTTTGTTTACACAATTCCCCCACTGTGTGACTGCTGGGGGGAAGCTGGGGGTGGTATTACAGAGGACAGAGGCATTGGCAAAATGAGGAGTTCCTCTCAATGTTAGACTAAAATGTTAACTATGTACCACAAACTCAAGTATGTGTTTGATGAGTGAAAAAGTGTTCGTGTGGCTCCCACTGTATTTCTGTTGGGGACAAATACGCAGTACACAGTACGGTGATACACAGAAATGCGGCTCACAGTAGCTCACTGACACCCAGTCTCAAGGTAACCACTGAGGGGGTGGAATTATTACCCTGTTGCAGATGGGAGCTGGAGACTAGGAGAGGTTAAGTCAAACCGAGAAAGGATTCCTCACTTGTAGCCTGTACAATGTCTTGACTTTTCTACTAAATAGAACAAATGAATGAGTTTGACCCCATGTTGTTCATACCCCATGTATAGGCTGATTCTGGAGTTGGGGGCCAGGGGTTGTCACTGCTGATAGGTTTGGGGGTGCTTTCTTGTTTAGGACCCCCAAAACAGGGCCATTAGTGGGGAGGCAGCAGTAATGGCAGATTGAGCAGAGAAGCAGAATTCAGGAGCCACAGGTTCCAGGCCTGGGATGTCTATATAGCCTTGGGCAGGTCATCTTGGGGCCCGCTCACCTAGGCAACAAAAGGTAGGGACTCAGTGACCCTCTTTTGCTCTGATGTTCGTAATCCCATTGTCAAGATCTGTGTGGCTCAGATGTCCTGGCTCACAGACTCACCTATCAGCTTGGAGATCTTTGCTTTTCTCAGAGTGTTTCTAAAAGGCCCAGAAATTCTGACTATGCCTCTGAGAAATTCAAATTAGCAGATGACCTCAGGAAGGAGTTGGCTCTTGATGGCCACTGTGGATGTGGGTGCGTGATATATTTTATACATACAATTAGATACGCATATGTGTGTGAATGCATATATACATAATGTATGTGTGCATATATAACATAGCTAGTTTCATACATGTACATGCTGTACACATGGCTCTCTCTCTATAGCTCATACATACATGCTTCTCTCTCAGTCTGAGACTTTAGCTAAGCTTTTATTTTCCATATAGCTCAAATATTAAATATTTTGGGAATGTAGAAAGCTAACAATAAGCAAATACATTTTTTGAACATTTAAAGTAGAAATGAAGAGCTTTTCAACTACTAACTGCCCAGTTTATTTTTTTTTAATTTCTATTTTTGAAAGAATGCACTATATTTAGTTTCTTCTCTCTATGACTGCTGGCAATTCTACTTTAGGAAAAAGACCTCAGAAGGGCCCCGGGCTAGGCAGGATGCCTCCTAATAGAGTGGGAAGAACATTCGGGCACTAGGGCTCTCAGACCCTGGCCTCCGACTCTGCCACTCCTGTGCCAAGGGGCTGGGACCAGCAGTGGTTTCCAGAGTCGGAATAGAGAGCAGTAAGATGGAGACAGCACCGCCCGCCGCTTCACCCAACCCATTCCCTGCACAGGTGCACCCACGCACCCACGCTCCTGCATGCACAGACCCACACAGGCACACACATACACGTACACACACACAAGTGGAAAAGGCACGCGCAGCTGGTCCATTCTGTAGACCCACATGAGCAGTTGAGAAGGAAATGGAATTTGCCTGAAACATACTGAAATGTTCAATTGACTACAGCAAATGGCCCATTAAATTGAGCTTATCCAATCAGTAGAACCAACCTTGAACCACATCTTGTTTGGCCAGCCATCCCTAAATATTTCCCTATTTCTCCCAAAACAGTTATGCCACTCGATGTTGCCAGATTGTCTTCTCCAGCATTCACTGATTCTCTAAAGGTTTCCAGCTATTTAATTCCTTGTTCCTTAATATACATTTTTTTCCAAACAGTTAATACAGTTAACATCTGAGGGAAATAGATCAATTGGCCCTGGTATGGTTTTTTGTTTATACATTCTGGACAAGTTTCAGACTAAAGAAGTGAATTTTAAACCTGGTCTAAAGAAAATAATGGGCCCCCTTGACAGGAACATTTTCAGTGGTCCTAGAAATCCTAAAGTCCCCAAGCCAGCCATGTCTCTAAGCCCTCCCTAACTGTGTTTAGTTAGGCAGGGATCACTCAAAAGACAGATTCCACTCTCCTCTGTCTGGGAGAGGGTCAAACATGGACTGTTTATCAGCACCCAGAAAACATGAACCGTAACTCATCCGTACTTGGGAACTGGATACCCTCCTGCCCAGCACTGCCGGTGTGCTTGAGGGACTCAAATGCCTGACTGTGATAAATCCCAGATGGGTAGATAGGAGAAGGTGCAAAGGAAGCCATTTGTGGAAAGACAGCCCTGACTTTAGAGTTTTGAATGTGGGCTCTGAATTTGAAAATGAACTTTTTGGTGACCTTGAGCAAGACTCTCATCTATAAATATCCTGCCATCCTACCTTGTAGTGTAGGGTTGTGGTGACAAGTGGATGAGCAGACTCCAAGGCCACTTTATAAATAGTAAGGCTTTGCACGCACAAAAGCTTTTCGATCTTTCTAGTAACCTCACCTGTTTATCCCACTGGCCCCACTTCAAACATTTCCTCTACTGTGAAGCCCTCCCAGACTGTTTCAGGCTAAATGAATGAACATATGCCCTCTCAGTGTCCAGCCTAAATTATGATCATAACATACATCCTGTCCGTGCCCGGGAGCCAGGTGGCATCAGTGAGCCTTTCCCAAACACGTGCTGCTCCACAAGCCACACCAAAACGCAGAAGCTGAAAACCACCAGGATGCTTCCCACTTACCAGCCACGTGGTTCTGCTTTACCTGTCTCTCCTCCTCCTCCTGGGACCAGGGACTGACCAGGGCACACTCTCCGTATGGCAAGAGGGCCAGTGGAGATACACGAGGCCTCTTAAGGCTTGTGCTGGGGACTGACACATTGTCATTTATGCCCACAAGGCATTGGCCAAACACAGATCAAAGTGTTGGGAAGCACCTTCCCCTCACAACGAGGCCATAGCAAGGACTGGATGCAGGCCAGGCCTAAGAATTGGAAGCAAACAATCTTTTGTACAGGTTGACCTGCGCTATTAGATCAGGAGTTCCTGGTGGGCAGGAGCAGGAATGATGTCTGCCCCTGTATCACTGGCCCCTGCACCTGGGGCTGGCAGGTTCTGGATCCTCCAATGATGTTTGTTGAGGTCCAGAAGGCCCTCCCAAGTCCCCTTTATAACAGTTTGGCAAACTATGGCAGCAGGGCCAAATTTCTCTCTCTCTTTCTCTCTCTCTCTCTCTCTCTGCAAACAGAGAACATATAAACTGTAGGGAAACAAAAATATATTTAATGACACATGAAATTATGTGAGGGTCAGATTTCAGTGTCCATAAATAAAGTTTTATTGGCACACAACCACACCCATTTCTTTGTGTATTGTCTATGGGTACTTTGGAGCAAAACAGTGTACTTGGAGTTGCCATAGAGACTCTCTGTCCCTGAAGCCCAACCCTTTCCTATCTGGCCTTGCACAAAACTTTGCCACCCTCTGCTCCGTAGGATCAAAAACTGAGAGGGATCCAGCGAGGTGAATGTGCTGCCCAAGACTCCAGAGTCTTCGCTCCATTAAACCTGTGAATTTGGGGTTAATATTTTCTCTTCTTTGTTTCCTAGTAATTGGCTACCTGAGACACCCATGTGTCACTGATCAGGAGGCATTTCCTGTGGGAACGCTTCATGACCCTGCGACGTCCAGCCTAGCGAAGCCACTGTGGTGTCCAGCATGGCCACACTACTCCTGGGCGCAGTGCTGCTGGTGGCTCAGCTCCAGCTAGTGCCTTCGCGCCCCGGGGCCGAGCCAGGCCAGCAGGAGCTTGTGCGGAAAGTGGCCACCCTCCGGGACGGGGCCCTAGATGGCATGGCCCCCAATGGCTCAGCCCAGCAACTGCCGCAGACAATCATCATCGGCGTACGCAAGGGAGGCACCCGTGCACTGCTGGAGATGCTCAGCCTGCACCCGGACGTGGCGGCCGCCGAAAACGAGGTGCACTTCTTCGACTGGGAAGAACACTACAGCCAAGGCCTGGGCTGGTATCTCAGCCAGATGCCCCTCTCCGCCCCGCACCAGCTCACCGTGGAAAAGACCCCCGCATACTTCACATCGCCCAAAGTGCCTGAGCGGGTCCACAGCATGAACCCGGCCATCCGGCTGCTGCTCATCCTGCGGGACCCGTCGGAGCGCGTGCTGTCGGACTACACGCAAGTGCTGTACAACCACGTGCAGAAGCGCAAGCCCTACCCGTCCATCGAGGAGTTCCTGGTGCGAGATGGCCGGCTCAACGTGGACTACAAGGCACTCAACCGCAGTCTCTATCACGTGCACATGCGCAACTGGCTGCACTTCTTTCCACTGCGCCGCATCCACATCGTGGACGGCGACCGCCTCATCAGGGACCCTTTCCCCGAGATCCAGAAGGTCGAGAGGTTTCTGAAGCTGTCGCCGCAGATCAACGCCTCGAACTTCTACTTCAACAAAACCAAGGGCTTTTACTGCCTGCGGGACAGCGGCCGGGACCGCTGCTTACACGAGTCCAAAGGCCGGGCGCACCCTCAAGTGGACCCCAAACTCCTCAATAAATTGCACGAATATTTTCACGAGCCAAATAAGAAGTTCTTTGAGCTTGTGGGCAGAACATTTGACTGGCACTGATTTGTCATAAGCGAGGCTCAGAGCCTTTCCTACTGTAAGTTCTGGGGTACATCTAGGGGGGAAATAATTTTAAAAGGGCATTTAAGCTATAATTTATTTGTAAAATCCATAAATTACTTCTGTACAGTATTAGATTCACAATTGCCATATATACTAGTTATATTTTTCTACTTGTTAAATTGAGGGCATTTTGTATTGTTTTTCATGGTTGTTAACATTGTGTAATATGTCTCTATATGAAGGAACTAAAAGATTTCACTGCAAAAAAAGAAAAAAAAGAAAGAAACAAATTCTGGAGATGCTGTCTTTTTTAAAATATACTTAATTTGCCCCTGACTATGTTGAACTCATTGGAGAATCCATTTTCCTTTGTTACTAAAAAAAAAAAAAAAAAGTCATGGTTGTTATGTCCATCTTTCCCTCCCTCTTCTCTTGTGTTTTTTTGTAATATCTTGCTGTGATCATCCGATTTATTTTTTACTTGCCTAGTAAGATGTATCTTCACTGAGATGCCCTATTAGTCCTGGAGGAGGCGGTCCCACCCCTTCCCGACGTTAGCAGGTCCCTGAGTGTGGGTTGTAGCCCCATCATGGAAACCCAAGGTAGGCAGAGCAGTGGTAAGCCTGGAGAAGCAGTCAGTAACTAGTAAGATGCCCCCCGGGGTACACCTGTGCCCCAGAGACTACGTGCATGTATTCCCCATCTCAGCACTGGGAGAAACCCACAATAAAGGTGGGCAAATCCTACAATAAAGGGGTTTACAGCACTGGCCTTCAGAATGACCTTGGGCCTGTGTCTACTGCCCCCAGTAGCCGTGGGTCTCTGCAGAGCAAATCAGGATAGAAAGGAGGAATTACGAAGTGTCTGTGTGTCCGCATCGCACAGATTCTGTGAAAAACTGACTAAAGGAAAGCCTTTTTGCTTTGGTTTGTCTATGTCTTGAAACCTCAGTCTGCATTTTTACACATAAATGCCATATGCAGGCCTACTGCAGCTCTTTTTTAAACTTTGTTGTTGATACTGTTGCAGATACCATGTCCCCCCCTTTGCCACCTCCACCCAGCACCCCCTTTCCTCTGGCCATCAGCACAGTGCCGTCCTGTCTTCTGCCTCCGTCCGAACAGCTGGGTTATTGGTGGAGCCCCAGTTTTCTCCTGCTGCCTTCCTTCAGTCAGCCTTTTGCAGGGCTAAATCAATTGGACTTTTCTCATGAAAGCAAAACATATTCATTACCGTAGAACAAAAAATACAAACAAGCAAAATAAGCCATTTCCTGACAGAGTTTATACTTATGGCAGAGGAGTGAAATGGACATTATTGATCATTTTCTACATACAGAAACTCATTGAAATTTTTCCCCAAGCAACCTCAAGAAGTAGGAATCATTATGGCAAGTTCAAAAAGGAAGAAATAGGCATGAAGATAAGGAATGTGTCCAGGTTCACACTGACTGTAAGTAAGCCAGGGCTTGGAGTCCACATACGGCTAAAGCACACATTTTCTTGCTTTCTACACAACTCTTTCTGAACCCAAAATAAGAGTCCCAGGCTCAGAGACAGTTCTCTTTCACTTCACCAGACAGATTCCTTCCCTGGTGCCAAAGGTTGTCCATCCCAAGGGGCATGCTGGGTCAGAGGGACCAGGCGAGGAGAGGCCTGCGTCCTCAGCAGTGCTCGTGGGGACGTGAGTCCCGGTGGTTCTGTTTCAGCACCTGCAGCCCAGCCTGACCCGAGCATGGCCCGCACCCCAGGCCCTGCTAGGGAACAGAGAGACCTTCCTCTTTAGAAGCCATCAAGGTCGTCATTAAAAAACAGGTCCCCAGAGGGCATGGCAAGAATCCTTGAAACTGGCTACCCCTTATGCTGCAGTGGGCATGGTGCTTCCCTCTGCAGCCCCGGAGCTTGCTTTTATCATCCCCGACTTAAGAGCTGAAGAAATGAGAGGCTCAGAAAGGTTAAATCAAGTTGCCAAGCTGCCCACGAACTTGGTGACAAAGTGGAGACCCCAGTGTGAGGTTTCTGACTCCCAAGAGGGGTGACCTTTGCAAAAGGCCTGTGCCGTCATGGGGATGCTATTCTGGAGGCAGGGAGTGTTGGACGAAAGGTAGCAGGTGGGAATGGAGGAAGGACCAAGCAGCGGGAGCATGATCTAACAGCTGGGGCTGGCACAGTCGATGGAGGGGGCTGTCCAGTCTGAAACGATCGGTGGGTATGAATTCAATAATCACTGATTTGGGGATGCAGGATCCTGAGTAAGGATGTGTTCACGGAGGTCTGCCCTGGGCAAGGGGTTCGGGTTCCAGTGGCTACAACTATTCAGAAGGCACAAGGGTAACAAACCCTCACTCCAGACCTGGCCCAAGCACTTAGATATCATGTGAGCCCGGTCAAATTCAGAGGATGCCCTGTGGCTGACCTTTGCCCACCTTACTATAAGCCCAAATGCCATGACTCAGGCACCAGATCGGCACCTGGTTCCTCCCCAAACACACCCAATACCAATTACATTAACAGAGAGAGATGCCAACTGGAGAGTGTGAGCTTCCTGCCTGAACCAGTCCAGGCCCAGGACAACCTGGGGGCTTCTGGGTGGCGTCTTTTGGGAAAGGCAGCCAGAGCAGCTGTGTGGAACCTCAGCTATTATGTTGTGAAAGCTTCATTCACAGAACTTGATGCTTCTGAGTCAAGAAAGCCCCCGTCCCTCCCTTCCCTCAGGAATCAGATAGTGCCAAAACCTTGTTAACACTGCTTGTGAAAATCTGCAGATTCAGCAGAAACTATGCTTAGCCCCTGCTGCTGTTTCTATCCCAAGAGGCTAAAGGGAAGAGTAGGAAGAAGAAACTCATGACCAGGGTGCCTGCCACTCACAGGGGCATCAGAGGTCATAACCAAGAGTATAGATGTTCATTAACACTGTATTTTTCTCTCAAGCCCCTACTCTGTGTTTAACTAGTTATTAAGCCCTTAGAGGTATAAAAGAAAATGCAGCAACAAGAACTAATAGTTATTAATAGTTCTCAGTTTAAATAAAAAAACATGGAGGGGCCATGAGGGCAGGGAAAGTGATGCCGTGAACTGTCCAGGGCTTTCTCATTTGATTTACATATGAATAGCTCCAAGACAGAGAGGAGGAAACTGAGGTGTAGAAAGGGACCTACCTTGATTGCTTTCAGAGGAAGAGGACTGCCACTCACGCTACAGGAACTGTTACCCTAGAGATGGGGAATGTTGACACTAGGGATCATAAACAGAGGTGGAGAGGTGACAGAGAGGTCAATCACAATGCCAACACTCAGGAGTAGTAACAGATGAACAGTCTTCCTAAAGACCATATGGCAGAGCTGTGACCCAGATCACTTGGAGCTGACGGGCCACAAAGAACCTGCTGTTGCCACGGAAAAGCTTCTTGGAGGATGTGCTAGGAATCCAGGGCATGGAGAGCGGTGGATGTAACCAGAGCAGGGCATTCTGGGGGAAGGCAGCTTGAGGCATCAAGAGAGCAGTGGTGGGGAGGGGAAGGACGTAGGGGCCTTGTGGGCCAGTGACTTGTCTACTGGGCATGCAAATGGGTAGAAACTACACATCAGAGAGTTGTGGCCTTGACATCTACTTTCCAAGTAGTAGCAGCTTTCTCGGCAGGCACCCGTGTGTCTCTGTCTCCTGTGCAGGTGTGTCTGTCACATAAAAATAACTATCACTTATTGCATGCCAGCTATGTGCTTGGTATTTTAAATATGTTGCTTCTAATCCCCATGACAGTTCTAAATAGGAAATGCCATAGTACTAATTTTACAGAGGCAGAAACTCAAAATCTGAGATTAAAGGTTTTCGCCACAATGGCAGAGCCATTGATTGTTATTATTGGACTGCAGTCTGCAATGTCCTTGCCCTGCTCCAGTAAATTCTGTGCAGTCATGGGTAAGAAGAGGAAGAAGTACAACATGAGCATCTCTCTGTTGGGCAGAGCCCATAAGGGAAATGATGGGCAACAGATTGTGGGGATGCACAGAAAGGGCTAAACTAGACCAGACCTTCTTCAAGCAAAAGACTGGCTGGCACTGAAGACAACTGGTGCATGACAAAGCACACTCCTTCTTTGCACAAGTTCATTGAGGAAGCCCAAACCTGACCTAGAGACCAGAGCAACACAACTGAGCTCTCCAAATGGCCAGCAAGAAGGACCAAACAACAGAGACTTTGACTGAGTTGTCTTACAGAAATATTTTGATATGGGAAATGGCCTTGGCTCAACACCTTGAGATCAAGATCCACGTTCTCCCAATTTCCCAATTAGGTAACCCAAGGGGAAAAGCAATTAGAGCCAGGAGACTTAGGGGTGAACCCCACCTCTGCTGATTGATCACTGGCCAAGTGGCCTTAAATTCATGTTCTCAAACCCTCAATTTGCTTGTCAATCTTAGTGGGCTGATATTTACTTAACTGTTTGAGGGAAATTAAATAAGTTCAAGGAGGTAGAAACTATAAACATGTTGGGTATGTGACGTAATGATTAAAAGGGTCTGGGACCTTGGCAGACAAGCCTAAACTTGTTTGAACCAGAGAGCAGGCACCTACTGCCTTTGTTTCCCCGTCTAGTTCCAGTGCTGGGGCTGCAGCCACTGCTGGGAGTGTCCCTTCCAGATCCCATTTACCAGGGAGGGGCCCCCCAGTCCACCACCAGAAGAGCTTATGGCTAATGGCTCACCCTGCACTGTCTTCTGGGAGGTGCCTGGGAAGTTATGTCCACCCTGTTCTCCACTTTCCTTAGAGTTTGCCTGTGGCTAATGATTGACTGAGGGGAGAAGAGGGGTGGGGCTGTGCAGCAGCAGCCCCACCTCCTGGTCTCAGAGCAGGAAAACCTCTGGGGTACAGCCCATGGTGCAGAGCTCCTCCCCTTTATCTTGTGTCCCTAGTGCCTTACCTATCTCTTCTGTAACCCACTTCCCAGCAAATGACTTGCCAAGAATACAGAAATACACATTTTAAGCTTTGCTTCTAGGACATCCAGTCGAACACAGTCAACTTAGAAAGGTGTTTTATTCTCCCTGAATTGCAGAGATGAGCACTCAGAACTTACTCCCTGGTACTTTTTACACTATATATTTGTTGTCTAATTACTGTCTTACTCCTCACTGGCCAGTTTGCTCCCCAGGTAGGAACCAATGGTCCACAGTTCTTTGCATGGAAACGATACCAGCTGATGGTTGTGATAGAAGTCATATTCCTCACTTACCAGTGTTTTTGGTGCAGTGGGAAAAATGATAAAAGCTAGGTAGATTAGTTTCCAGTTACTTGTGGTTGTGTAAGAATCCACCTCAAAACTTAG